ATACATCCAAAATTGCACTGTCATAGAGCCTCTATGCATCCCTTGTTTGTGTAGAGTTCCAGTAAGATGTAGAGTAATTTTATTATCTTGACAGAAAGTAAGAGAAATGCACAGATGTCTGGAAAAAAACAAAACAAGAAAATAATGCTTATTTATGCAGTAAGACTAAAATAAGAGGTAGAACAGCAGGAAGGCATACCCCAGCTCCCTCTGTGCAATAAGAGTCAAGAGTTCAATACCTTCAACCTGTGTCTTAAGATCTCAGCATGGGATGCACCATTAACTCAGCAGTGTGCGTGTGAGTGACTGTACATCCCTGCTGCTTCCAGATGGGGCTGAAAATGCTCCATGAGAGAGCCGTACACACCCTCACCCACTGGGACTGGACAGAACCAGTAGCCGTGAGACTGTATGCGCCTCCTGCACACTCGAGCAGATTGCAATTTCCAACAATCTGGAGACTGAGTCAGAAGCTCAGTCAAAGGGAGGCCCAGTGTCATCTCAGTGCTGCGAACAGCCTCCAGACTGCTGGGGATTAAGAGTTGAGCTGCATTTAGCTCGCCCTCTGTTTCATGTTCTGATGAAATCTTGTGAAAAGCTTTGTTCGTTCTCAAAGCAGTAGGGTTCCTGCTCAAGTCGGCTTTGAGCAGCACTCAGTAATTAATCAGTGGTATCAACATTTGATTTTGATACAAGTAGGAAATCTAAAAAAGCAGTTTATATTTGTAACTATAAAATAATAAGGTAATTCCAAATGAATGGCAGCATTAGGGACACTGTCTGAAAGGTTTACTAAAATGTTTCCTTTGTCAGGTATTAACCATGGTCCAGTGATAGCTGGAGTCATTGGGGCCCAGAAACCCCAGTATGATATCTGGGGAAACACTGTGAATGTAGCCAGCAGAATGGACAGCACCGGAGTCCTGGGGAAAATACAGGTAAATGATTTGGGGAACGTTTGAGTTTAAAGACATAAATAAAAAACCCACTACCCTGCCTATTCACTGCAATACTAAATGTTAAGACAGCTGTCAAACATCAGCTGGTATTTTATTCTGATAGTTTCTTTCAAAGGACCAGCAGACCTCCTTCATACTGCAGACATTTAAATGGCAATACGGATGCTTAAAAAGATAAAACTCTTCTTTCTTATGTGCCATTTATTACAGCGAGGACATCTCATCGTCTTGACATCACATGGCATCGTCAAATCCTATTTTATGTCATGTCTGAGCACTGATAAGACAAAATGGTTTTTCAGCTGCTGCATGGCATGTGGCTGTGGCAATCATTCAGTCTTCAGAGGGCTGTATTACATTTCGCGGCCTGTACACATTTGATTGAGCCATCTGCTGTGCGGTGCGGCACAACTACAGGGCTCGCAATTGCATTCCATGATTTCCGGTTGATATTTTAAGACAGATAGAAGGCAGAAATAAGACAATTTCTTTTAAAGTAGCATTGATATTGCCTACCAGAATGTCACTTTTACTCATGGTAAAATTCCCAGGCTTTCAATGTTGTTTGCTTGTTGTTCACACAGTATTTCATCTTTGTGCTTTGGGAGACTCTCTTGCTTTAACTTACACATTGAATTTTTATGTTTTTGTTTTCTTCATCTATTAACGACCAAATCCAAATATGCACCAGTGTTGGCAACTCTGCTTGACTCACACATTTTGCTGTTAGGGCTAAACATGAACGTAAATGTTAGACTTTAAACAAGAGGTATCCAACCGCAATCCTGCTGTCAGTGGATTTTAATGAAGCACTGCATCGAAGGAGAACCGTTTACTGATGAGTTAATGGTCAGCAGAATTTTCCCGTGGACAGCTGAGTATTTTTGCCTGTAGGAATTTAATTCAGTCATGTTAGATGAGCAAAATGGTCATCACCCATCTGGTTCTCCCTGCAGGTGACGGAGGAGACGAGTGACATCCTTCTAACCTTGGGGTACATGTGCTCTTGTAGAGGCATCATCAATGTCAAGGGCAAAGGAGAGCTTAGGACCTTCTTTGTGCACACGGAGATGACTCGGTCACTGTCACAGGGGAACGTAATGCCCTGAGCCTGATTTACAGGCACGAAGACTTTTGTTTCAGATTGAAGAAGTTTGAATTTCTCAGTGCTGCTTTTATAAAGTGTGGGGCATAAAGGGACCTGATCTACAAGGAGGTAAAAAATCAGATTTACTGTTGCATTACAAATTACCTATGCCACAGCTGTAGTATACATTTTGTCACTTATGTAACTGTAAGTGTAGCATGTACAGGAGATAGGCAGTAACACCTAAAAATATACTGTAATGTGAATGTGGGAGCTGGAAAAAACACTGTTGCACAAGTAAGTCTGATGTAATAATGTACAAGTTCAATGAGAGTGAAAATCTCCAATGGGCTGAATTAATATTCTGCCTCAGTTCTGGGAGGCTTGTGGTAGTTGCTTTACCATAGAAACCCCTTATCAGCAAGGTGCATCAAAACCAATCTCACCCTACAGGATACAGTTTGGATGCCAAATAACTTTTGACTCTGCATCCCTAAGATGGCAGCATTTCCAGAGTTAGGAAGACAGTTTCTTGTCTTTGTACTTTTATCTGCTTTAATTGCACCATTTACCAACTCTTGGCACCAAACATTTTCATTGTTCTACCATTTTTTTTGTGTACAGACGCCAACAACTACGTCACAGTTTTGGCTGGATTTGTTGAGCTGCTGTTCTCACTTGAAGGGGATTTATGTGCGTTCTCCGTTTGGGAACTCATTGTTTGTGTTATTTCAGCACCATATGAATGCAGAAGAATAACTGCATGGCAACAATTTTCAGCAGAGTCTTATAAAGACTTTGGCGCCCCAACGACAACAGAGGTTATGAATTAACCACTAACTTTTACCTGCTTCCCGAACTCAAGCAAAGTCCTAGGGTAACACAAAAGGCCAGAAATGAAAAATGTGATATTAAAATGAAAGCAAAGGTCAAACCAATACAAGTGAAAATGTCACAGACACTGTTGCAAAGGTAAAATGTGTCTTGTTAAGAAGAAAAAAAAAACAGCCAGAAAACAAGGTGTACCATGTGTACATAAGTCCATCGACCTTGTTAGAAGCACCAAGTCTTAGATGTATTTTACAAACAGTCTAGGACTATAATAGGAAAAACAAATGAAAAGTAGAATCTATGAATATATTCTGATATTCATGCAGGGCGGTGTTTTCCAAAACAGTCTTTCCAGTTTCTCCTTGGCTGCATTGACTGACGTGATTAGGACATTGATCAGATTTGTCAGTGCTTGCTGAAAATGGAAAATCTGGGGCCAGTTGCATAAATGACTTGAGATGTGTACAAACACATTACTTTCATGCAATTTATAACAGGATGTGCCATAACAATGGACACCCTTTGCACACTTAAAAACAGGTGTACATAGTTGGGGGTGTTTTTAGTTTTTTTTAAAGCCACAAGCAGAATAAATAAGAGATTAACGAAACATGAATGATAAACCTTTCTGTAAAATCATGTGTCTTTTTCTTCCAAGTTTTCTTGGATGATTTAATTAGAATAAAATCCTCAACGGTGACTTTTTAATGTTATTTTCAGCAGTTAAATATGTAGTCTGACTCAGTGTGAGTTAAAATGACCAAAAAAACCTGACAAACACACATTATGAAGGTTACAATTTTTCATCATTCATCCAGATTACTAACTGTAAGGTCTGTATGTTACAGTAGAAAGTACCTTGTTGTTGTGATTTGGCACTGTAAGCCTAAACTGAATTCATGTGACGGATTGTCATTTAAATACAGTTTACCCAGCCTTTGAGTTAAAATAAACAGCATACATTAACGCTTCTCTAAGGTCCTACACTAAAGTAAATTCCTTCAATGTTAAAGTGGTAAACTGTTATTTCATCTTTGGATCCAGTTTGCATCTGCACATGAGCTCATCTCTCTGTAAATAAAAGCTGATTTGACTGTGGGAAGGCGGCACAAAGGTTAAAATGGCATCCAGACACACATAACATGACACATTTGGTGACTCTACAAACGTTGCTATAAAATGTTTTATCTTAGCATGCACTTTATATTGCGAACCTGACAGAAAGAATGCAGACTTTTGTTTGTGGGTACACAGTTTTATATGCACCTGGCCCCGGTGAGCCACAAAGATTTACAAAACAGGTTCAATTAAAAAACTCCAAACATTTAAGACTTTCTTGGGAAATCCATGCCTGACTTGTGTACAGGGTAGCTTTAGATCACATATGATATGGTGGTTTTGTAAGAAAAGAAAATACTACCAAAAAAGTGTTTTGATGTTTTGATGATGCAAGTTGTTTTTTGTAAAAACTTAATTAAAATTTCTATGTATTTCAGTGCTACAGTGCCTTTATTTACCCTCAGGATTCTTCGAATATGACTCAGCTCAGTTCATTAACGTGTCAGGATTTGCAATACTCAGACGTAATGAAAAGCCGTACAGTACGTGCTGAACTGATATTATTCGTCAAATTAAACTGTACTGTGTGAGTAATCAAATGAGCTGACGATGTCACTATAATACATACATCATAACTAGAATACTGTACAGACTTGACACTGGGTGAGCATGCAGATGGCTACGATATGTCTGGACTTTAGGGTGTAAATTATTTCAAAAACATGGTGATTAGATCATTTTGGTCCAACTAGTCTGAATGAAAAGAGGAAACCCAAAGAGACAGGGGGCTTTATACCAGAGTATTAGAACATTAACACAGGACCTTTAGCAGCCATAGTACAGACATCTATGCTTCTGTTGACCTCAAGCACAAAAAAAAAAAAAAAACGCATGATGTTTTTGAACGTGCTAATTCTGGGTCTGACCTTGGCCTGACTGCACAGAAAAACCCAGTATCTATCCACAATTCCTGACACTGACTGTAAAAATGTGTTATCACTTTGTTTGTTCCTTTACTATGGAGCTGCATATTTCCCTCATACAGAAATGATGCTAAAAATAGATTTAACCTTGATGAGAGCTTTTTAATCCTGCACACTTAACTATCCCTATAACTGAGGGAAAATGAATAACGGCTGTATGTGTCAGTGTTCATTATGAAACAGTCATTTGACATCACAAAGGAGCGCCACTCCACGGAGGATCCAGTATTCTGGAGGAAGGGAGGTTTTCAGGTCTACAGCTGCGATGTAGTTTACGTCTGTCCTGGTGGGCTTCTTGTAGATTGGACAGGAATAGAGGCGGGAGTCTTTTACACCTGCAACACAGAAAAGAAACACGGCATTTGCTGCAGAAAGTGGAAAGAGAAAAATCAAAAATGGCATTTTTCATGAAAACTAATGAGAGAGAGCAGCAGCTGCCAAACTGTGCCTTAATTGTGTTTCTAACTAGAATCATTTCAATTCAATGAAATATTTACATCAGTGCAGAGATGCCACTGGGACACCCAGCTGTGCTCAAAAAAACCATCTGTTTTTATGTAGTTAGGAATCTGCTCGAATTAGGAGAGCACGCTTATTACCCAGTACTCCCTCAGCACCATTTTATAGTTCTTTAGCCAGTCTGCTGCTTGTTTTGCTGTTAGTCTGAATAGCAACAGCAGTGCTCCTTGTTCATGCATCAGCAGGGAAAAAACTAAAAATAATTTTCTCAGAGCAAACAAACAGGCTTGCTGTGTCTTTACAAACGACACTGTATGTGGACAAAGATGGAACTAATCCCTTTGAATGAGTGAAAATTAAGTAGAGCAGCTTTCCAACCTCTTGTACCTCATGCCTGCACACGTGCACGGCACACACACCAAGCACTTGTCTACTGAAGCATCCCTTTAGCAGTCTCCTTTGCACTGACACACACTCAAACGTAGCAGGCTGCCTTCGTATGGGAAATGCTGGGAGGGGACGTGGTGTAAACAAACCGCATTATGCGTATCATTGGATCATTAGTTCATTTCCCAGGAAGCCTTGCTCGCAGGCATCCATGGGGGTCTGTGTCTGTCTGAATATACTTTGGCCTTATCCAGAACAAACACTGTGCCACATACTGCTGGTAATCTATTCCCAGACAAAATAAATAACACTTATTCTGCTTGACATTTAAATGTTACATCCAATGAGTGACTGTGTGGGATGCAAACATTGAGAAGACAGGTAGGATATAAAGCTGCTCCACCAAAAGATTTGTTTTTTTTTATTTCCCCTCCACACTGTTCCTAAATAATAAAACTCACCATTATTCTCAGCATACATCCTGATCACCGGCATCATCTCAAAGAGAACTTTGGGTTTGGAGTCAATAAGTTTGCAGTTGCGGCGGTCCCAGCCAGCTCCCTCCAGGTAAAGACCATAGACGTACACTCCCTCTGTGGGCGGCTGGTTGATGTCATCCTTCATCCACTTCGTCACCTCGTTGCACAGCACCATGCGGTCCAGGGCCCAGCCCTTGTTCGCCCGAGTGATCTCCTGCGAGTACATGTGAATGGCACATAAATGACAGAAGTGACATTTTGAAATGGTTTTCCCACATGAAAATCAATTTCGATAAAAGGTCTGTAACAATAGGAACACCAAAATACACTACTGGGAGATAAGTGCACTCCATCACAGGAGTTGTTTTGTGAGATGATGATGCAAAAGGAAAAAAATAACTCCAGTATGACAAATTAAGTGAAATGTGAGTATTTTATGGCCTCAGTCATTTTATTCTCATTTTCAAGTTTAAAAAAAGAAATCCTTAGTGGGCAAACTTGGGAGAGACAGAGACTGATAACAAATGACAAAGGCAGGCACATAAGCAACGCAGATAAAACAAGCTAGCAACTTCAGGCACATTGCACAGAATCAGAGAACACGTACATCTCCTGAGAATCTCAGTGGTAGGACTGAGGGCTATATTTGGTATCTATCAGTAGTCAAACAAATCTCTTCCTAGTAAAATACAGAAATCTACATCCTCAATATTTCCTTTATCCAGGTGAAAGATCCAGGCTCTTCAAAATATTCACTTGGAAGTAGAATCCTTTACTCAGTGCATACTGCAACTCTCAGGTCTACACTTCAGTTCATTTTCACTGTTACTGTATGTAATAAGACTCCTGTTTACCACCAAATTCAGTTAAAAACACACTGATTTAAGCCACCAGTCAAAGTATATGTTCAGCAAACTATTAGATTCAAACCCTCAAGATAAAAGTTCAGTAGCATGGAGGAATTGTTTACCTTACAAGAGCAATGATACAAGCTTGAGCCTGTCGTATGTAACTGCACTCAATTATCTTCATATACATAAGCTCTTTAAATATTTGTTGTATTGCTCCTGTCTTGTTTCCATCTGCTCCAATCAAGGCAGATGGCCGCCCCTCCCTGAGCCTGGTTCTGCTGGAGGTTTCTTCCTGTTAAAAGGGAGTTTTTTCTCCCCACTGTCACCAATTGTTTTCTCAAAGATGGGTCGTCTGATTTTGTTTTTTTTTTGTTTCTATATTATTGTAGGGTTTTCACATTACAATGTGAAGCACCTTAAGGTGACTGTTGTTGTGATTTGGAGCTATATAAATACAATTGAATTGAATTAAACATTACAGCCTTTCAGAACTGATAAATCACTGGGTTTGCTAAATAAATTATTTAACATTCAAAATCTCTTCAAGTTGAAGATCCCATCTGCTCTCACTTTTCCAGAAAACTTTAAACATACATTTGCTGTCATGTACTTGTGATGCAAAATTGGAACCACAGATGGCAGGAGTAAAATACAGTTATGATACAGATGTTGTTTCCCCATAAAACTATTTCCACTTGCTGCCAATCTACCAGTATTGGCCAGATCAGAGCACACAAATGGCACCAATAGATAGAAATGGTCAGAGAGGAAGACTAGGAATGGCAATTTCATACAAAATTGCCATTTACCATGCTTGTGCCTGCAGAATTCACAACAGGGGTAGGATTTAAAGACAAATTTAGCATATTCTCTGAATGCAAAATGAATTTCATGCATTGTAAAAAAATAACTACTACTACTTGCAGGTCCCTGTGTATGTGTTTGTGTCTCTGCATGTTTGCATGCATGTGTAAATGTGGCTGTGTGCCTGCTTCTCCCTCTGCGTGCCATCTGGTCTTTTCCCTTGCTGTGGGTAAATGGTAGGTAGCCTGATGTCGTGCGTACCTGTCTCATGGCTGTCAGGAAGCCCTGCGGGTTGAAGAAACCTGTCATCCAGAAGCAGTTGGGTCTCCCTTCAAAGATCCAGGCCTGGAACTGACGGTTCCGCTCAAGCAGCTCCGTGAACCAGAACCCCAGGGTGCTGGAGGCCCACGATGACTGAAAACAACAAGTAGACAGACAAACAATAACATGAGCAAAAGAGTACAATAAAACGCTGAAACATGTCATCCAGGTGGCTCTGTGAAGAAAAGGGGAGATAAGACATGGATTATGAAACATGGTGTGGCAAGTGAAAAAAAGAGACTTGACACAATGGGAAAAAAAAAATACAAAAAGAACACAATAGACTGGAGGCAAATGATTCAGAAAAAGGATAAAACTGCAGGTAAAAGAAATCGGTGTTGCAGCCAGGAATCCCATTCCAGTCTGAATTATTCTAACAATGCTGTGTTTGTGAGTGCAGCCTGACTGTCAGCTAAATAATTCTAAAAAAAACAAAAGGCCCTAAAAAAGTCCTAGCTTTTTATTGTTTGCTTTAGTATGGCATCAGAACAAAGTTTCTTTTTTCCATTTCCTTTATCACTGAGATGGATTTGTGTGCTGTGAATACAATTATAACAATGAGTACATTAATAAAAAAGGAGCACAAACACGGCCCAAACGTGGAAGTTAGAGTTTGGTCTGAATGTCCCTTGTAAGTAACTAAATCTCAAGGACACTAAATAACAAAGCTGATAGCACTAAAATCTGATCTGAGGTATTAATTTGTGCCTTTGGGCTGTCTAGTACTCTGTATTGAATAGTTGTTAGAAGCTTTCACCGGAGATAAAATGATCACCTTTCATAGGGTTGTTCGATATAACGATATATATCGGATAACGATATAAAAACGTCTATCGTTTCATTTTACGCTATCGTTTGTTTCGCGGTGTCGAAAAATATTGTTTTGATGGTCACTGTAGTGGCTATATTAATTTCTTAAATTTCTCTCTTTCTCTTATATTTAATATAACCACACTACGGACGGACAAGCGCCTGTTTTTATGCGTTGTCGTTAGCAACAACGACGGTAAAACCATTGCGTGTCCGCTTGTTTATTTTCCACATATAAAAAAAAAATGTATTTTTTTTTATTTTTCACAATAAAGCTCAAGATCCTGTTGAGACTTTCCAAAATAAACTGAATCATGTGAAAGAGTATGCAGTGTTTACGGATGAGAAGCAAAAAAGAGCCGTCAGGTGCTAAAAAATAAACCTTAGACTCAAACGTTAGAACAGGCTTTTCCCCGCAGCACGCTGTGTAATAAATACTCACACA